TACCACGCTGCCTTCCACTTCAGCCTCCTTCCCCACAAGTGAGACTCCAGCTCTCGTTGTCCCCCCTGCATCACCTTTGGAGGGTCCTGTGACTGGAGTCATTGCAGCTCAACCCAATCCTTTGGTGCCTTCTGTAAGTACAGCTCATCACAAATCTGATTCTGAGTCATCTAGTTGGCGTAATATTCTAGCTAATAATCGCAACATTACTTCCTGCCCTAAGCTTAGTCATTACTCTGCATTTACTGAAACAAATGGTTGTGATTTGGTTGGGGATGATTTAGATGTTAAATGTGATTTCTGGAGGTTATGTCTTATTGGGTATGTTGCTGGACGTTCTCCTGGCTTCAAAGCCTTGCAGAATATTATTGCTAATTCATGGAAATGTGAAGCTTCTCTAGTTAAGCATGAATCCGGTTGGTTGATCTACAAGTTTGCTTCTGATGCTGATAAATTGCGAATATTAGCTGGGGGTCCCTATCTTGTTTATGGCAGGCCATTAATTCTCAAGCCAATGCCTGAATTTTTCGATTTTTCTTCCTCTGCCATGCACATGGCTCCGGTTTGGGTTAAGTTCCCCAACCTCCCTCTTCAGTGCTGGTCTCTTAAGTGTTTGTCCAAGATTGCCAGCGTCCTTGGGATACCCGTTCAGAGCGACATGCTCACCCACACTATGTCCAGGCTCTCCTACGCTAGAGTTTTGGTTGAAGTCAATTTATTATCTGACTTGCCTTACTCTATTGATATCAAATTACCGAATGGCAGCCTTCTCAAGCAGCAAGTCATCTATGAAACTCTCCCCCGGTTTTGCAAGCAGTGCAAAATTCTCGGTCATCTTACCTCCAATTGCCCCAAATCAATTCCATTGACTGATCCTAGCAACCGGGCAGCAAAAGTCTCAGCCACAGCTCCTATGGCCAACACAATTAAAGAATCTGTCTTTGACCGCTTGGGTCCCCAAGAAGACCCTCCTGTTGTTGCTAGCCCCGTGGGAAATCTGTCTCTTAATTCTGCTCCTCTCCTTGCCGAACCAGAACAGGTGGCTGAAAGTGGGGCTGTTGATCTTGTCTCTAGTGGTTGGCATATTGTTCAGAGCAAACGCCTCAGACGCAAAAATTCTCCTTCCAAGCATCGTGTTCGGTCCTCCACTGTATCCGTAAGTGGGACTGTTGATCACGCAAGAATTCATGAATCATCCCACATGCATGCTAATTTGCATGCTCCTGTGCATCCCACTGTTGCCTCAAAGGACAATCGTTTGCCATCTCCTCCAACGCCAAATTCAATTGTTTTAGCTGGCTCACGGAAAGACAAAGGCAAGGCTGTTGTTGTGTCGGTTGAATCAGGTCTGCCATCAGCTGGGGTTTCTAGTGTGTCCTTACGGAGACGGGGGGCTCAGTCACGCAATGAAGGCGTTTCAGGCAGGGTTGAGGGGTTGCTTCCCACCCCCCTTTCTTGATGATAATTCGTTGTTGGAACGTCAGAGGGTTGAACAGCCCTCTGAAACAACATGAGGTTGTTAACCTCATTCGGAAACATAAATTGGATGTTTGTTGTTTTTTAGAAACAAAATTAGTTTCTTCTAAAGTTTCATCAATGCATCATTTTCGGCTGAAAAATTGGAAGGTTTTGTCTAATGCTGCAGCAGCGTCTACAGCTAGAATTGTGGTCTTCTGGAACCCAACAACTGTTAATATTGATTTGTTTGGTTTCTCTGCCCAAGGTCTTCATGTTCTTATTTCCAACTTAGTTGATCATTTCAAGTTCTTCGCCTCTTTTGTCTACGGGTTCAATACTATCATTGCCAGGAGAACTTTATGGGATGATCTGCGGAACTGGAGTCCAAAATCCCCTTGGCTCGTTTTAGGGGATTTCAACTCTCTGTTATCTCAGTCTGACAAACACCGTGGGGAACTTGTTTCTTCTTATGAGACTTCTGATTTCCGGCAGTGTTGCTCAGATTTGGGGCTCTCTGATTTAAATTATTCTGGCAGTCACTTCACATGGTCCAACGGCAGTGTTTGGAGCAAGCTAGACCGTGTCCTTGCCAATCCTCTCTGGTCTCTTTCACTTGCATCAGTGCAAGTCCACTTTGACAATCCAGGCGCCTTCTCGGATCACTCTCCGGCTACTATCTCATTCCATCCTAATCAGCCCATGGGAAAGAAATGTTTCAAGTTCTTCAATATGTGGAGTAATCACCCTTCTTTCTTGGATCTAGTAGCAGAGGCTTGGCATCTTGAAACTCACGGGTCTCCAATGTTCACTCTCTGTAAACGTCTCAAGCATCTTAAGAGGCCTCTGAGAGATCTCAACAAGGTTCATTTCAGTCACATTTCGGAGAGAGTTGCGCGGGCTGAAGCTGCACTGGATGACCATCAAAGTCTCCTCTCCTCTGACATGGACAATCCTAATCTGCAAGCCATTGATAAGCAACTTCGTAATAGTCTCCTCCAAATTAAAGAGTGTGAGCGGCAATATTTCTCACAGAAGCTAAAAAGCAAATTTTTGAAAGAATGCGACTCTGGCACTTCCTTCTTCCATTCATTAATGAACCGGCGTCATTGTCAAAACTTTATTCCAGCAATTCAACGAATGGATGGCTCTCTCACGTCCTCTTCTGCTGAGGTGGGGGCTGCTTTTGTGGACTTCTATTGCCATTTGCTTGCCACTCCGAAAGTCACTGCTCCAATTGAAGTGGATGTTATTCAGCAGGGGCCACGTATAGATCCTGTTTCCCATGCTTATCTCCTTGCTCCTGTTACAGATTCTGACATAAAGAATGCTTTATTTGACATTGATGATGGAAAATCTCCTGGCCCTGATGGCTATTCTTCATGCTTTTTCAAAAAAGCTTGGCCTGTAATTCATGAAGATTTCTGCAGTGCTGTTCGAGACTTCTTTCAGTCAGGAGCAATGCTAAAACAAATCAATCATTCTATCATTGCGTTGATTCCAAAATCGGCCAATACCTCATCTCCATCAGACTTTCGTCCAATCTCCTGCTGTAATGTTATTTACAAAGTTATTGCCAAGCTCCTTGCAGCAAGATTGTCTCAAGCTCTTGCGCCTATTATTAGTCCTATGCAGAATGCTTTCCTTGGAGGGCGTTTGATGACGGATAATATTCACCTTCTGCAAGAGCTATTGCGTAATTATGAGCGAAAGCGGACTTCTCCACGCTGCATGATGAAAATCGATTTCAAGAAAGCTTTTGACTCGGTTCAGTGGCCTTTTCTTCGTCAGCTTCTTCTTCTGCTTGGGTTTCCAAGCAGGTTTGTCCATCTTATAATGCAATGTGTTGAGACTGCCTCTTATTCCGTGGCTGTCAATGGTAGCATCTATGGGTTTTTTCAGGGGAAAAATGGAGTTCGGCAAGGGGATCCTCTATCCCCCTACCTTTTTCTGGTTTGCATGGAATATTTCTCAAGAATGCTTCGCATAGCTTCTTTATCTCCTGGCTTTCGTTTTCACCCTAAGTGTCACTCTCTTGGGGTTTGCCATCTCGCATTTGCTGATGATGTGATTCTCCTCTCAAGAGGGGATATGCCTTCGGTGTCTTGCTTGTCTCAGCAATTGGTCTCTTTTGGTGAGATTTCGGGGCTACAAATCAATGTCAGCAAATCTTCCATTTATTTTGGTGGAGTTCCGGACAGCATCAAACATTCTATCCTTGAGGACACTGGTTTTGCTGAAGGTTCTTTTCCCTTCCGTTACCTTGGCGTTCCTTTAAGCCCTCATCGTCTTCTTGCCAGCCAATTCTCCCCCCTTCTCCACAAGCTAGAGTCGGCTATCCATGGCTGGTTGGGGAGAAACCTTAGCTATGCCGGGCGTGCTGAGTTGCTCAAGTCTGTCCTCTACGGCATGGTTCAGTTTTGGCTGAATATCTTTCCTTTTCCTCAACTAGTGATCAAGCGCGTCACCAGTATCTGCCGTAATTTCTTATGGACTGGCAATACTTTGCAGAGCAAATCTGCTCTTGTTAAATGGCGTACGGTTTGTCTCCCCAAGTCTGAAGGAGGGTTGGGCTTCTTTGATTTCAAAGCTCGGAATAATAGTTTCCTTGCCAAGCTCATCTGGAATATCCACCTCAAGTC